CTGCTGCAGTTTTATGAACGGCTCGGCTGCATCATGGTCCAGCTCCAGGCTGCTGCTGCTCATGCTGCTGCTGCTGTTGTTGCTGCTGCTGCTGCTGATGCTTCACTGACGAACACTCTTCACGCCGCTGCTGATGCTCCCGCCGCCAGTGCTGCTGCTGCTGCTGCTGCATTTCTTCTGTCACGGAGCGGAGCAGCATCACCGGAGGAGCGGCGCAGAGCAGCAGCAGCCTCAGTCACCTCCTCCTCCTCCTCCACCTCCACCTCCTCCATCAGCTGTATCCTCAGCCTCGGCACCAACTACTCAACCTGCAGCCTCCTCCAGCACCGTCAGCGGCAGCAGCAGGAGCCCGGACTCAGCTGTTGATTCCGAACTCGGACCCGGATCTGAATCTCTCCTCCCTCGGCCAACAGGACGCACCTGAGCGTGGAACGTCCAGCCCGCGCCACTCTGAGCCCTTCAGGGGGGCGGAGGGATGGAGTGAAGCCACGTCGTTATCACTCACTGGCACTGGCACTGGCACTGGCACTGGATTTGGTTTGATCGACCTCCGTGTGGCGCACGGACGCGCCGGTGATGGAGGATTCTAGACGGTTTTTTTTTTTAGGATCACGGATTTCTGCGGGACTGCAGCGGCCGGAGTGTGATGCGAACTGAGCCGTGGGTGGCGTAGAGCCCCCCTCTCTCCCTCCCCATCTCCCTTTACCCTCACCCTCTCTTCCTTCAAAAAAACCCACCCTCTCCCCCAGTCAATCGCGGTAACAGCGGACTCTGCCTGGGACTCACAGCGGCGCTTGGCTCCACGGGCGGCGGGTGAGGAAGGATCATGTCCCGGGCAGCGGCCATCGCCAGCTCCCTGATCCGCCAGAAGCGGCAGGCGAGGGAGCGGGAGAAGGCGAACGCCTGCCGAGGCAGCGGCAGCCCGAGCAACAGCAAAGGCGCAAACGAGAAATCGAGCAAACTCAACGTTTTCTCCCGCGTCAAATTGTTCGGCTCGAGGAAGAAACGGAAGAGGAGACGGCCACCAGGTCTGGGGGGGGGGGGGTTCTAGAAGGTCTGAGATCCATCTGGGTTCAGCTATCACCTCATCACCTCCATCCTCCTCCTCCTCCTCCTCCTCCTCCTCTTCATCAGTGGATCAACAGTTAATCCTGTTGCAGCACTGACGTGTGACGTGTCAACAACTTTGTGTTGTCCCACACTGACTGGAGGAAGGTGTCTGTGACAAAGTGTTGTTCCATCACCTCCATCATCTTCACCATCATCACGTTCTGACCTCACCATCGTCATCGTCATCGTCATCGTCCATCACTGTCTTCACTGGACAGAGGTCACACTGATGCCTGAGAAGAACCATCACCACCATCACCTCCTTCTCCATCACTTCATCTCCAACATCAGCATCACCTCCAGTACCCCCTACTGGTGACTTCATGTTGTCTGTCTGTTGACCCCTGGGTCTCGAACGACACGATTTCATTGGAGAAACCACATCAGTGTTTTGATTTTTAAAATGATAAAAATAAAAATTTGTAAATTTGTAAACAGATACAGCAAGTCTGGTTTCTGACGCTAAAAATATACTAAAAAAATAACTCTGGTGAAGGACCAGATTTAGGAGGGTGTGCGGGCCGAAGTGGGCCCCAGGCCGGGAGTTTGGAACCCCCACCGTGGGCCGACCTCCATCATCTTCATCCTCATCTTTTATCAACATCACCCATCAGCACTAACCTCCCTCCTCAGTTCATTCCCCCCCCTCCCCTGCCCCCCCCCGATCAACAGTTAACCCTGATGAATTGTTTACCGCGATGGCGACGTGTAAATAAGTCAAACACAAACTGCCGTCTCAGCATTTTTGTGGAAACGTAGATCTCAGAAGAGAAAAGAAGGAAGAGAGGAGGAAAATTATTTTGGATTTGAATCCTTCTGTCAGAAACTGTAAAATAAAGGAATTTTATTTAAATTTTTTTTTTTAATTTTTTTTGGTTGTGGTTTTGGTGTGCAGCCGTCGGAGGCTGTGGTTGATTATTTTCCTCTTTCATACCAGTGTCACTGCCTCTCCTCCTCCGACACGCTCGGCTTCCCGTTGGATTTTAAACCCACCGTCAGACGCGCCACATTAATAAAGAGTGAATGAAAGTCAAAGTGACGCCTCCTCTCTCTCCCCCCTCCCCCCCCCCCCTCAGACCCCCAGTTAAAGGGCATTGTGACCAGGCTTTCCAGCCGCCAGGGCTTCCAGCTGCAGATGCAGCCTGACGGCACCATTGATGGAACCAAGGATGAAGACAGCACTTATGGTGAGTATTCCCATTGGACGCTGCAGGAAGTGTCGATGTCGATGTGTTCATTCGCTTCTTTCATCGTCATCTTTCAGAGATCAGAGTCGAGGCTGAATCGAGCGTCTGATTCTGGTTCTGGTTCTAAGTCGCAGCGTGTGTCGTATTAAGATTCACAGATCCTTTACAGCACAGGTGTCAAACTCATTTACCCCGGAGGGAGGGAGGGGAGGGGCGGGGGGTGTGACATCAGCAATACAGTCCCCCCTGGTGGGCCGGGGGTGTAAACAGTAGACTGTAAAGAAGTAACTACTCCAAAACTTTTTATATGTTACAAATATTGTTCATTACTCCAGTGTTTCACAAACACTTTTTTTTTCTGGCGACCCATATTTTAAAAGTCGCAAACTATCGCGACCCAAGTCAGTAGACATTATTCGCAAACTCCTGGGAAACTGATGATGCGAGACAACCCCAAAAACCCAAAAAAAACCCAAAAATCTCTTGCGACCCACCTGAGGGTCGCGACCCAGTCTTTGGGAAACAATGCATTGCTCTGCGTAATAAAATAAGAAAAAACCTTTTACTTCATCAGGTTAGGAAACTCAGTGTGTATCGGCAAGAATCAGGCGATACGATACGTATCACAATACGGGGACAACGATACGATATATTGCGATATACTGTGATACTTTACGCTCTCATGTTGACGTAGCTGTTCGGAGTTTGAAACTCTCCGTAGATTTCCCATCTGTTTCTGTCAGAGCTCTCATGTTATAATTAATATATTAACCCTAACGATCCGTCTGTGATTACTGGACGTTAATCCCTGACTTTGATCTGTGATCGGATCACGTTAATCTGTATATTTTGCCGTGAAGTCGGTTTGAACTTTGTGACTTCCTTCTGGTCTGTGGAGGTTCTCAGTCGTCCAGGTCAGTTAATCCAAGAAGAGTTCCGTCGAGGGGAACTGGACGAAGTAGGTTTTTGTTTTTGAAGACGTTTCACCTCTGATCAAAGAACTGAAGAAGCCTTTAGATGAGAGGCTTCAAAACAAAACCTACTTCGTCCAGTTGTGACTTCCTTCTTGTGTTTCGTTCAGGAGAATCTTCCTGTTTTCCTGCCTGTGACGTCGAACGCAGCACTTTTCACATTTAAAAAAAAAAAAAAATCAATTAGTTATGCTCAGTGTGTGGAGTGTAACAGTCTGAGGGCTGAACAGATTCTGCCTCTCTCTCTCTCTCTCTCTCTCTCTCACACACACACACACACACTGTGATGTGTGATTGATACGGCTAATCCACTCGTGTTGTTGGGCCTCCGATGGCGATGGCTCTCCTGCTCCTTGTGAGCAGTCGGCGTTGGCAGCGTCATGCATCACTTTCGGCTCCTGCCTCTTCTCTGGGCCAACTGTTGTGCACAAAGGCACAAAGGCACAAAGGCGTGGGCACGGAGGAGGAGGGAGGGGGGTGAGGCGGGGGAAGGAGGGTGAGGGCTCTTCAATTAGCAGAATAACACGGTGCGTACATCACGTAAACGGCCGCCCACGTTAATTAGCCGCGGAGGATTGGGTTTGAATGGACGAGCCACACAACGGCGGTCGTTATGGCGAACACGCGTGGCTAAATGAGGACAATTAAAGGAGGAACTGACTCATCACATCCACGGGAATAATCACTACGGAGCTTTTACTGTACAAACATAAATAACCGCCGCGCTAGCAGAACAGCAGGGGAAAGGAACGACAACAACAAAGTGATTTTTTTTTTCACTGATTGTTTCTGTTTTCTGGATCTAAGGATCCACAGCGTTGGCTTTGATCTGCAGATGGAGAGTCGTTATCAGCTCATTAATCATGTGGAAAAAAAAAAAGAAATCCCTCCGAGCTTCAGTGTCTGTGTCACTGCTGCACGTGTGGATAATTAAATATACTGAGTTAAGAAGCAAAGATTAGCTGTTAGAAATATAGATATATATGAACAGCTGAGTCTGGTGTAGGGTTTAAGAGATAAGGCCACAGGGATCATAGGGTTGCTGGTTTAAATCCCTGGCAGAACGACCAAGCTTCTGTTTCATGGAGCTACTTTGCAAAGTCTGAAAATCTGAAATTGTCCCTACAGGCTTCTGTAGCAGCTAGCTTTAGCATCTCCAATGTTAGCGGAAACAATTGTCAATACATTTAAAGCAAATTATTTGAAAATGAAAAAGTCAGAATGTGACAGTGAGGTTCTTAACACACACAAAAATACATTTCCTCAGACCCCAGATCAGTCTGTGAACCTTATATTTGACATCAGTTTCTGGGATTTTGATTTGGAATTTTTTATACGTTTTAAAATCTATTATTAAAGTTCAACACAAATACGTTTTAAAATCTATTATTAAAGTTTGCTACAGCTGAGACAGTGTGAGGTTGAGTTCAGTTTCTTGGCTCTAAAGTAAAGTATCATCTGTATAAAAGAAGATTCTTTGTTCAGATTACGTAGTGACATTAGCAGAGATGTCTGAGGAGTTCTTTTTTTTTTAGTTTGAAAGCTGCAAATCAAATTTGTTCATTTTTTTATTTTTTTTACAGATAAAATCTAAACTCAGGCTGTTGTTGTTCTAATGGACACATGTCCACGGTCTGAGCTGAAAGGAACAGGGCGGTAATCAGATCACGGGCTGCTCTTCTGGGAGAGAATTAGGCTCGAGTGGTCGGTGCTGAAGGATAAACGGCATTGGTCGCATTAGGAAGGACATCCAGCACTGGAACCACTGCCAAAGCACACGTGCAGTGTACGGGATGTGGGTTAAAAAAAAAAAATTTAAAAAAAAAAAGAGCGACTAAAGGAGAGAATTCAATCAACAAATAATAAAAATCTGATTGTTTTTTTTGGATCAAGATAAAATGTCTGCATATTATTATTATTATTATTATTTCTACTATTAATAATAATACTAACATCATTCATATTATGCTTGTTATTTCTGCAGTATTTTAATATTTTTCTAATACAGTGATAATAGTTTGGAGAATTGATAATGATCCAAACAATAAAGAAGCGGAATTTAATGAATGCGTCTGATTGGCTGTTACCTCGGCCAGGTGTTCTAATGTCAGTTTGACTCCCTGGTTCAGTACAGGTAAATACATAAATAATATATATATATATATATATATAAACTTCTCTCCAACTCCTGACAGTCTTGACTGATGTAAACAGGCTACTTCCTGTTAGCTTTAAAGCTAACGTTTTACTGCCTGTGGAAAATGATGAAGAGAAACGATGGAACAGAACAGAACAGAACTCTGACACAGGTCTATATTTGTTCTTCTCTCTGTGTCGGCGTGTTTGTTTGTTTGTTTGTTGACCCTGTGTGTGTGTGTGTGTGTGTGTGTACATAGCTGTGTTTAACCTGATTCCTGTGGGGCTTCGTGTGGTGGCCATCCAGGGCGTCCAGACCAAACTCTACTTGGCAATGAACAACGAAGGCTTTCTCTACACCTCTGTGAGTACACACACACACACACACACACACACACGGTCATGGCCATTACAGACCATTAGGAGGCAGTAAAATGTCCTCTGTGTTCGCTTTGCTCGTGCCCACTCCCGTTACCGTCCCCTCCGTCACATCGATAACGTGTAACCGCGGCGGTGCCTTGTGCAGCAGATGTCATTAGGTGGCGCACACACACACACACACACACACACCGCTGTGCCTCCCTTATCTGTCTGCTCATATCGTGGCTTCTCACCATTGATTTCGGATCAAACCTCCAGCCCCGGCTTCTGTTTATTTCCCTCCAGTCGTTGCCTTGTGTCCATTTACGGCCGTGGGTTCGTGGATCACTTTCCGTGCTCCGTGCAGGAGTTCAGGAGGAGTCGGAGGCTGGAGAGACGGTTAAGTGCTTTCATTTGAGTGTTGACTTAAAAAAACAAAACAAAAAAATAAC